TTCCAGTTTGAACCCCGTACTTTACCACCTGTGGGACCCAAAGGTAACTTCACTTGCCATGGCTGGTTTCTCGGCTGCTTCTGTGTTGTATTTGAGGACAGGGCAAGGTAAATTGTAACTCAGTTACGACTGAGATAATATTCCTTTAGCCCATTCTCCAAAGAGGTTCTTGAAGAAAAAAAAATAAAAGGGAAGACTTATAGTCCACTTTTTAAATAAAACTTACTTTACGTTACTGTATTTTTTTTAAAGCAGCTGTGAAGGCATTAATCTCTTACCAAGGATTTCCTCATGTTTTCTTACCATCACTGCAGAGAAAAGTCACAGTTACATGGCCCCAGGGCCCGAGCCTTAAATTGAAAACCTGATGAAGCAGGACACTCAGTCCTCCACGTGCGAGCTCCTGAGTCTGTCTCAGCCCCACAGAGGGGCTGTCAGGCGTGATGATCCGCTACATCACCTGTACTTTCCTCCCACCATCTTTTGGCTTTGCCCTTTAGAAGGTCCAGCTGCGTAGTTCTTGGGCCTCTCAGAGAGACAAGACTTGGAAATGCACAGTCCAATTTTCTGATCTTCCCTCTAGGGACTCTGGAAGGAATGGTTTCATAATCAAAAGCCTGGACCCTCCAACGTCGGCATTCTTCCCCTTCCTCTTACCCATCCCATAGTTGTCCGGGGTGGGGTTTCTCAACCTGGGCAGTACGCACAGTTTAGGCTGGATAACACTTTGTTGTAGGGGCTGTCTTCTGCCTCATAGGGCTCTTGGCAAAGGCTGTGTTCTCCTAGTTGTGACCTTCCCAAGGCTGTGATTTTTCTCCTGAAACAGGTCAGGCCAGGGGTGCTGGCTGCAAGGAGGTTACCTTATGCAGGCTTCGTGAGAAAGTGGACTGGAAGTGAAACAGGGACATCCACAGACCAGCCTTTCTAATCATGGGCCTCAGGGCAGCCGCCAATCACCAGTGCTGACTGGAATCTAATTCTGCTTCCTGTTTGGGAAACGTAACCCCTACCAGAACTAAACTTGAATATTATGAAGGAAATGGCCAGTTCCCTCAAAGATCCTTCTGGTTTTGTAAGCACTTGAGTATAAAACTTAAAGGCATATGTTGTGCAGAAGGAAAGGCACCTGTGAACGCCCAGCTTTTCAGTAACTCAATGGGCTTTGCTTCCCGGTAACCAGGAAGGTTTGTCTTCGTGGAAGGAATCGTTACTTGGCTAACCTTTTTTTAGTGAACTCTTTTGTGGGCATTAAACTTCTCCTTGTTAAAATTATTTCTTTATTTTATTTTATTTTATTTTTTTATTTTTATTTTTTATTATTATACTTTGAGTTCTAGGGTACATGTGCATAACGTGCAGGTTTGTTACATATGTATACTTGTGCCATGTTGGTGTGCTGCACCCATCAACTCAATACAGCCAACAGACACATGAAAAAATGCTCATCATCACTGGCCATCAGAGAAATGCAAATCAAAACCACAATGAGATACCATCTCACACCAGTTAGAGTGGCAATCATTAAAAAGTCAGGAAACAACAGGTGCTGGAGAGGATGTGGAGAAATAGGAACACTTTTACACTGTTGGTGGGATTGTAAACCAGTTCAGCCATTGTGGAAAACAGTATGGCGATTCCTCAAGGATCTAGAACTAGATGTACCATATGACCCAGCCATCCCATTACTGGGGATATACCCAAAGGATTATAAATCTTGCTGCTATAAAGACACATGCACACGTATGTTTATTGTGGCACTATTCACAATAGCAAAGACTTGGAATCAACCCAGATGTCCATCAGTGACGGACTGGATTAAAATTATTTCTAATATTTACATTAAAGAGGAACTTTAAGTCATTTGGAGTTTAAAAAATAAAAAAACTAACAGGGCACAGCACTAACTGGCTTGTGAACTGTTATCTCAGAAAGCAGGTAGGCTCCTGGATCTGCTGGCCTCACTCCTGCGATTTTCATGTGGATGGAGTTTCTCCAACAACTGCTCAACTCCTGATGCTCCTGTACTCCTCCTCAGGAGGCAGAGGCATTTATGGTGAATTGGGTGAGGAACTGGGTGAGAAATTCAGCACAAGGAACAGTCAACACACATCTTAGCCTCAGTAAAGGAAAAATGTGAGATCCCGGCCCCTTCAGACCTTCAGTGGTGGCCTTGCCTTCAGCTGCACCTAGAAACCACCCACGTTGCTCCTCTACCCTCCTCTCCCACTCTGCTTTATCCTCATTTCATTTGGAATCTGCACTTCAGAGAAAATTAGACAACACCGGAATGTGAGGGCAGGGACCAAACCAGGTCTGTGATCTTTCCTTCTTTCTCTTTCTTAGTTCATAATATATATATTTCTCTAATTATTCATCATAAAATATATTCCTGAAACTGCCCAAGAACCAATCAGTTATCAGGGATTACCCGGAACCACTTAGAACCAATCCAGTTATCAGGGATTACCGGAACCACTTAGAACCAATCAGTTATCAGGGTTACCCGAACCACTTAGAACCAATCAGTTATCACAGTTATCAGGGATTACCCGGAACCACTTAGAACCAATCCAGTTATCAGGGATTACCCGGAACCACTTAGAACCAATCCAGTTATCAGGGATTACCCGGAACCATAGCATCAGATGCTGTTATTTGTACAGTCTGGAAACCCAGTGATGCAGGGCGCCATGCTAATCCTCCTTGAACATTTGCCTCATAAAAGTAAAATGCTGTGATAAATGTCAGTTTGGTCTGTTGAGCACAATTTAATAATTGTGAGGTTGTTGAGGGTCTTGGATGACCTCGAGACAAGCTTCATTGGATCCTGATCTTGGACAAATTACTCGGCATCTCTAAGGCTCAGTTTCAAATTCTGTGACGTGGGATAGGAGTAGCTGGCTTATTGCAGTGGGCGGTGTAAGTGGAGCGCGTGTGAGTGTCTGCCACGTGCCTGAGCAATTCGCGGTGGCTGCTCTTCCCAGATGCACATCGATTGGTGCTGTTATCATTGTCATTGTCCTTATTATGCATTTTTGGTCTTACAAATGAGACTGCAATGTATAAATGCATGGTAGCTAAGATGGCTACAGCTCCCAGCACATTCCCTGATGTTCACAAGCACTCTTTTAACTCACTTCTTCCTGTTCTCTAACGTGTCTGGGAGACAAGAGGGAGGAGAACAGAGTTCCTGGAGGGTCTTCACTGATTTGGTCTGGTTAAGTAAGATTCAACTTTATAAGTGTATATCCTAAATATAACCATGAATGAGAGATTTCCAGGATGGATTTTTCTTTATCACGAGCTTGCATCCTGATCTGATGACAGGGAAGCATGGCGTGAGCCCTGTCCAGGGTGCCCCGTCCAGGGCAGAGCACAGCCCCTTTCACAGTGCCTGGCAGTGACTGCTCATTAACATGTGTGGAATTTAATCGTGTACTCAGAACATTTAACTTATTCTGTTTCTAGACTATGTCAAAATTTTATTTTGGTGACATTCTTTTAGCCTTATTCCTTAAAAATTGGTAAACTAAAAGTAAATATAGGATGAAATAAAATATACAGAAATTCTTTGTATTATAGAAAAAAGTAGTTATACCAGTATTATCTCTAGTGTAATTATTATTAGGATTATTTCTTTAGAACTCAGCTAGATGGCACGTACTTTAAAGAAAGAACGGTAGCACCATCTTGTGTGAGCTACAAATTCGGTGTTTTAGTCAGAGTAGTTTAAAGTGTTGACTATTTTTATTTCTTACGGATGGACCAAATTCACTTTATTAGTATTATTATTGTTGTATTATGGGTTCCAATAGGACCTGGCTCTAGAGTCTGGTTATTGGTGTTTTCTGTATGTCTGTGCATCTAATTGCCTGATTTATGCACAGAATTATATGACATGTAGAAGCATCAGACTCCATTTAGCTGAGTGCTCAAAAACTGTCTGTTTCATTACATTTTTATGATGTTATATGGTTTATAATATTTAATGTCCTTTATTCATGTTAACTGCTCAATTCTCAAAGTATTTTCTTCCTTCTACAATACGTGGATATACACATTGCATTAAAGTACTTGTGAAACATGTAGAAATGCTCCTGCCTGTGCTAATTCCAATTTATCTCTGATATTGAGAGGATGGATCAATTAAGCACAGAAATGTAAACAGCCACAAAGCCCAGGGAGAAGAAATGTCTGCTGATGAAACAGCAAAATATAACTGGGCTACAATCTTCAAGCCCAGTGAGTACAGAGCCAGGTTTTAAAGCTGACTCCCCTAGGGTTTGATCATGAGCTCACGTATCTGCCTTTCTCCCGCGTCTGCCATCCATGAAGCTGTCACAACTATCTTAGCCCCTTCCAGCTGCTATGACAAAACACCATCGCCTGGGCAGCTCATAGACAGTGGAATTTTGTTTCTCACACTTCTGGAGGCCGGATTCCAAGATCAAGGTTCCAGGAGACTGAGTGTCTGGCAAGGGCTTGGTTTCTGCTTCAGAGTTGGTGCCATCTTGCTGCGTCTTCACAAGGAGGGAGTTGCAAGAAGCTCCCCTCAGCCTCTGTCTGTAAGGACACTGATCCCATTCTTGAGGGGGGAACCAAATGACCTCATCAGCCCCTGGAGACCCCACTTCTAACACCATCACCTTCGGGTTGAGGATTTCAACACTTGAATCTCAGGGAGACCCAGACATTCAGACCACAGCAATGACTACTCTATTAAAATGGAAAAATATATAAGTTGTATTATCTCAGAGATGATTCAAAATTTAGAAAATTATAACCAGAAGCATGTGCTAAATCCTTAGGTATATAATGTGCAGAGAAAAATAAGTTTAATAATGTGATGAAAATTACACAGACTGTGTGTTGTGGTTTCTGCCAGCCTCCAAGACACCAGCATGCCAAGCCCTAAGTGGTTAATTTGTATCTTACCAGCAGATACCCCCAGTTTCTCCCTTAACGAACATAAATATGTGAATACTTTTTTCTTGTTTCAGGCAATTTGAATCCACCCATAGAAGTGACAGCGCTGTATTCATTTGAAGGACAGCAGCCTGGGGATTTGAATTTTCAAGCTGGAGACAGAATCACAGTTATATCAAAAACAGATTCACATTTTGATTGGTGGGAAGGAAAGCTTCGAGGTCAAACTGGCATTTTTCCAGCCAACTATGTAACCATGAATTAAAGCGTATACTATTTTCTTCTTTGAGAATTACAAAAAAATTATATCTACACTGACAGGATTTACTAGTTAAGCAATGTTTAATATAAATTTTTAAAACTTCTGTTCTACACAATTTCCATTCAGTATGTAAAAGATCTTGTTTTTCTATATAAAAAGAGTTGACTGACATATCTTTAAATACTTTGTACTAACTTTATCACACATGCTGTGCCATAGACTATCCTACAATTTATGTGCTCATAGTTCTTTTGTGAACATTTTCAAACATCACTAAGCATTTGATCTGGCAATATATATGGTAGCTGTATTTTAATTTGAGAATCTTGAGGGTAGAGCCACGAATTTCAATGCATACATTTCCATTTGCAAAGTGACTAGAGAAAAAGAAATCAGCTTAAATGAGGTATGAAGTAATGTTTAGAGTTGTAGCTATTAACTAGAATATGAATCCTTAGAAATCATATTTATGCTTTCAAAAATTGTACTATGCATTTATCATAGAAATATGATTACAAAGAAGTCCTACTACCATGTCTTTAGACATGTGACATCTCTCAACTTTTCTTCCTTATGGGGCTACATTTGTTCATTTCCATCAGTAGCATAAACTTACGGTGACGTGGTAGACTTGTCTGTAAATAAAATTTTTAAAAGTTTACTAACTTAATATTTCAATTTTGTTCTTATTTTTTTTGTAAGGTAGGCAAAGGTCCTGTGTCTCATATGCAGGGTGAAATCCACCTCCGTTTTGGGCTACCTGAGCTCCTCCCTGAACTCTAGACTCCCCTCTCCAGCTATGCACTTGAGAGCTCCATTTGGACAAGGAACAACACCTCAGCCCTCATGGGTTTAAATCCAAGCTCTTCTTTCTCCTCACTTAGCCTGCCCCTCCCACAGTGTTCCTCTTCAGTAAATGGAAATTCCATCCTTGGATTTCCTTGGTCCTTAGAGTGACTTCAGAGCCAACTTTCGTTCTTCTATCTCATGCCCTCTGTCAAATCCACCAGAGACTATGTTGCCTTTCAGACACTCGCTGACCCAATATTTGCACTCCCCCTGTGCCCACCCTGAAGCGAGCTGCCCGCTCAGCCCCAGCTCCCGCGTAGACTCCTTGCTTCAGCCCTGGCTTCACCCAGTGAACCCTCCTGAGAGGAGCAGGTGCACATTGCACCGTTTGTCCTGCTATTCGCTCCTCGCTGCCTTATGTCATATACACACCTGTGCATTTGCCTCTTTATTGATTGTACCTTCTTAAGACATGGAAAAGGAGAATGAAGATCCATGTTATCTTCACCCAGCAAGAAGTAAAACAGTTATTTCCTACTTTCTGAGCCCTTTCCAACCACCGCTTTCTCCTTCTAACTCAAAGGGAATCATCACCCTGAGTCTGCTGTTTTTAATGCTATACTTTTCTTTACATTTTTACTATGTATGTTTGTGTCCTTAAGACACAAACTATATGGTACTATATGGTATTTCCTTCCATGCTTTTAAACTTACAAAATTTAAAGTTTTAAATTTACAAATGATACGATAAATTCACTCATTTACAATGGACTTATTGTAAAGAAACTATGCTTTATACGTTCAAGGAATTAAAAGAAAAAGGTGGAGAACTTCAGCAGAAATTTGACACTATAAGAGAGAACTAAATGAAAAACGTGAGACTGAAAAGCAAAATAAACTAAGAAGACAATCAATGGATTTGACAGTAATTTAGACACAGCAGAAAAAAGAATCATCGACCTGAAGGCAGATCAGAAACATACATCCAGACTGAGAGTTGAAAGGACTGAAAATACTAGAGAAACCAAAAGAAACTATGGGATAAGGCAAGAAGGTATAGAAAATGAGTAGTGAAGGTTCTAGTCAAAAAGTGGATAGAAAATCAGGCAGATGCTGTACATGAAGATCGAATGCCAGAGCATATTCCAAAACTTTAAAAAGACATTGAACTACAGATTTCAGAATTACTATGAACTCCAGGCACAATAAACACAAGGAGAGTCACATATGTGCACATCGTTATAAAACTGCTAAAACCCACAAAGATAAATCTAAGAAGTAGATCAGAGGTTAATGGGTAAAAATGCACACTTAGAAAAAATAAGACCAGGTTTCTTATCGATCATTAGGGTGATTACAGTTAATATTAATGGATTATACATTTCAAAAGGGCTAAAAGAGAATAATTTGAATGTTCTTAGAAAAGATACATATTTTACGTATTTGATATAAAAGATATATATTTATGTATATGTATATACATATACATAAAGACATCTGTATAAAGAAAAGATAAATATTCAAGGTGATGAATATCCCAATGCCCCTGATTTGATTATACGAATGCATCAGATTATCACATGTATATCAAAAAGATATACATCTATTATATGCCAATTTTTAAACGTAGATGAGAACTGTTACAAATCACTAAGGTGATAAACAACACAATCAAAAAATAGATCAAAGATTTCATTGATTTCACTAATGAACATATATGGATAACAAGGACAGGAAAATATATTCCATATCTTTAACAATTAAGGAAAGCAAATAGGAACTGAGAGTGAGATGTTGCCACACAACCTCCAAATGGCTAAAATGCAAACAACGGACGCTATCAAGTGTGAATGAGGAGATGGAGCCCGGAAAACTCCCAGGCACTGCGGCTGGAAATGCAAAATTGCATGGTGCTTTGGAAAACAAATGTGGCAGTTTAACTCCTAGCCCAGAGATTTCATCCCTGGGTATTTGTCCAGGGGAAGTAACAATACATGTCCACATAAAGTATTATATGATGTTCATACGAGCTTTATTCATAATGACTCCAGACTTGAAATCCAAATGTTCATCATCTGTGTAATGGATGAAAAGCATCGTGCTCTACCTATCCCGCGGAACACTACTCAGCATAAGGAATGGACGTTGACACATCAACAACATGGTGCATCTTCAAAGCATTTTGCTTCGTGTCGGAAGTCACATGCTGAAGGCGACATAAATCCACTTACATAAAATTTCTCAAAAGGAAAAATTGTAATAATGGAAAGCAGATAAATATTTGCCAGGTGCCAGAGGTTGAAAGAAGAGCTTGACTGCCAAGGTTGACAAGGGCATATCTTATGATGTTAAATTTAATAAATTTGAAACAAACACATAATGTGTGTGGCTGTCAATGGGCCTGTTAATATCTAGCAAGCTAAAGCATATTACAGAAACAGAGAAATGCAAAAAAAAAGATTAACTCACCCCTCAGCATACTGTAGATCAAGCATACAAAAATGTATAAATATATATACTATATAAAAATAAAAGGTATCCAATGATTTGAGACTGTACCCTGAGCTTAGGCTGCCTATTTATATCAAGTATCCACAGAATATTCCCAAAAGTTGACCATAATACCACAAAGAAAACTTCTTTTATGCCACTATAAGAAATAGTATAGACAACATTTCCTGGCTCTGTACTACAAATAAGAAAATCCACACTAGCTTGAAAATTTCAAACTCTTAATAACTCAGGGCATATATATGTGTGCGCACCCTCGTGTGTGTGTCGAGTGAGTTTGTGTGTATACACACACAACACACAGAAAAAAATCCTAATCAAAGAAAATAAAAGAGAAATGATTATGTTTCTTAATCCTTTCCAATTAAATTCAAAAGTATAAAAAGTCTGCTTCATAATATTAAAATTGATTACAGGCGCACGTCACCATGCCCAGCTAATTTTGTTTTGTATTTTTAGTAGAGATGGGGTTTCACCATGTTGGTGAGCCTACTCTTGAACTTCTCACCTCAGATGATCCACCCACCTCAGCCTCCCAAAGTGCTGGGATTACAGGCTTGAGCCACTGCGCCCGGCCAACTCCATTTTTTATAAACACACTTAAAAAATGTTCTAGATACTTTCTTAACAAAACTAGGCTTATTCTATCACTGGAAAACATGAGAAATGGCCCCTTACAGTAAGTCAGAAGAAGTCACCATCACCACTGTGAGTCGGTGTCATCCTGGAGGCATTTGCCAGTGAAATTAGATGAGATGGAAACGAGAAATATAAAAGTTAGCAAGGAGGAGCTAAACAACTGTTTTTTCCAGATTATAAGATGGATTACTTGGGAAATCCAAGTGAATCAACTAAAAAGAAAACAACAGGTGCTATAAATAATAAAGAAATATAATAATTTTCAAAACTAGTAATCAAAATTAAAAGCTTTCATATTTACCAAGCACAATCAGAAGACGTAATGAAAAGAACCTCTCAATTTCAAAATGCCACCAAAAGTGTTAAATACCTAAAAACAAATAAAATAGAAAAAAATGTAAAGGCCTAATGAGGAAGACGCTCTTTACAGACACACAGCTTAAACGAATGGACAAGCATAGATGATTCTGGCTAAGAAACCTCACAAAGATAGCAAGCTTCTTTGGGCTATTTTTTTTTTCTGAAAAAATAAAACAATAGGATGACGAGCCTACCAGACTCTGAAACACACCCCAAAGCTGCAGCAAGTTCACAGGGCAGTTCTTCTCTCTGATCAAGGGTGAAAATGAGTGTTTCCTGCTGAATATGTGAGCTGTTTAGTTTGCCCACTGTAAAAGTTTCTGTTTCTTCCTGATTTTTGAGTTTTTTTACATTACAGAGATGATCACCGTTTTCTGTAAGTTGCACGTCTCTTCTCCCAGTGTGTTTTTGTTTTTCTACAGTGTTTTTTGCTATTTAAAAAAATCCACCTTTTTATTTTCCCGAGATGGCAGATTAGAGTCTTTTAGCTTATCTCAGCCACTTGGAAATAGCAAAATAGTACATAAAGATCAACTCTGTGTGCTTTAATTCAAGAAAGAAAATGGTAATCTACTGGAATCATGAAGGGCACCCCAGCTCCTAGGAGAGAGGACGAGGGCAAACAGCCCCCACGATGGCACTCAGCAGATAAAATCGAGTGAAGCCCCAGGATGAGAGAGCAAAGGGAGACCCTCTGTGACTCACCTCAGCAACCCAGGCCATACTTTGTTTTTCCCAAGTCCTGGAACTGACTTGGGGAGAGGCTTGGAGAGCCTGAGAGGGAAACACACTGAGAAGAGCTGCAGGCATTTTCCTAGACCTGGGACCAAGAGCAAGAGTCCATTTTTAATCCGGGTGCAGACAAAGTCAGCCTTTCCTTGGTGATCCAGGACTGCGGCCATGCAGGCATTTTAATCTCAGGCCAGAGACTGGAACACTTGCTCTGGAGTAGGGTAGGGACCTCCATGGACAGAATCATGGAAAGCACCTTGGCAACAGGTGCTGAAATTGTGCTCTCCCCCGTTGCAGGCAGGGAGCAGGAGGAGAGCTGCTATAACCCTGATTCCTCCTGGGTGACAAGACTTGGAGCCAGGGCCAGCCTTGCAACCTGGGACCAGTGTGTGTGTGTGTGTGTGTGTGTGTGTGTGTGTGTGTGTGTGTCATTGTTTGGTGCGGTGCCCTGGCCCGCTTTCCTGAGAGCATGATGCAGCAGGGCCCTCTGCACTCCACCCCAAGGCAGAACTCCAGGCAACTGGAGCACCTGCTTGCCTGGATCAGAAGCCTGGGCTGTCCCACCCTTCCTGGGAATAGATCGTGGTGCAGCGGGGCCCTCTCCACTCTACACCCAGGCAGATCTCCAGGCACTGGGAGCAGCTGAT